CCCCAAAACCCCAAAACCCCAAAACCCCAAAACCCCTAATTCATTGCTGGGTTGAAAATAGTTTAGAAAATAATACTCCTATTTTTGTTCTTATTAAGCATCCCAATGCTCTTGTCTAAGGAATCCAGCACAGAAAAGTTGCCATACACTCCAGAGGATTTGTCAAATATCTTCCTCTTGGACCTAGGTATTGGGTCTGGTGTTAAACCAAGAGATGAATCCATTAGAGCAAATTTCATTTGATCTTTTGGCCTCGGAGGTGTTCTATCCTTGTTTAGAAATTCCAACCGTGGTGTACTTTTTCTAAACTTCATTGGTCTTTCAGCTATAATTGAAGATTTGTTTGTTATATTATCTACTCCAACGCTTTTTCCTATGGACATTGGGATGTTCCTTGTCAATAGAGAGGCAACCTTCCCTAGCTGAGTCTTTGAAGCCGGCTGTCTTGGTAGATTATACCTTGAAGATTCCCTTCTCTGGGATAACTCAGAGTTTCCAGATTGAATGAAACTTTTGAAGTCGTTTAGAATATTCCTATCTCTCTTAGACTTTTCAATGACAATGTTACTGTATTTATTTGGCTTATTAGGCTTTTTATGTCTATAACTGTATACCTGAGGAGCGGGATTGCCAATTTCACGAGTCCTGCTTCGTGTTGATGCAATTTTAAGAGCCCTCTTACTCTTACTCCTTTCATTTAGTTCTTCGTAAGAGTTTATTTTGCTAGTATTGCTTTTGGAGCGTTCTTCATATGGAGAAATCTCCCTTTTGTGCCTTCTCACTGAATTCAGATTCGTAGCTATAGCTTCAAGGAGACATTACTTACCTGATTGGAGGGTGCTATTAAGTTCAATACTTGGATTTTGATTATTAGGGACATCTTTTGCCATTTTTCTTGTTGAAATGAAGAACTACATTACGCTTGTAGAATGGTTGAGCTCCTTGGATATCATCAGTTCTCATGGATCTCTTTGTGTCAACACCTAAAGGTCTCTGGCCATATTTATTTCGGATGTGAGCTTTCAATATCTCCGATTATTTGCTTTCTTCCTGACTTAGTTGAGAGGATATACCTTGGATCGAGAGGATTAGTATCCTTGACAATAATCCTCTTACCTTGGCTATTGATATCTTTAGTCAAGAGCGAGTATTGCTCTTTGTTGTAAAGAGGCCTCTTTTCTTTGAACTTAGGCTTGGCTCCAACAATGTCTGAGATATTGTTGTAGTCTCTTCCTGTGATCTTCTTGAGCTTCCCATAAGCATCAGGCTGAGCTCCTGGGATATCTCTTGTGTTATTTGTGTTCTTTACTTTTGGCAATTTCTCATCTCCAGGGTTTAGAATTGCGAGGAAACGGTCAAACTTCTTTAAGTCCATTTTTATAATTTATTTGCCAATTTTGGTTAATGTTTTAGGGGTTTTGGGGTTTTGGGGTTTTGGGGTTTTGGGG